CCCTTATTATTAGCTAAATAAAGCTTCTAATAATTAGACAAATTAGAAAAACCCTAAACCCTAAACCCTAAACCCCAACTTATCCAGGGGAAAGAGGGTAAAGAATAGATATTGGCGCTTATATTTAGGGTTTAGGGTTTAGGGTTTGAGGTCAACTAAACCCTAATCCCCAACTCCTTTTAAAGGCGTTCAATGACGCTAGTGATTTAATTCGAGTAAAGGGGTGGTTTAGGGTTTAGGGTTTACGGGTTTAGGGTTTAGCGCCTAGGGTTTAGGGTTTAGATCTACAGACTCAGCACAGGAGTTTGTAGGCAAAAAATAAACGTTTCCCTTAAAAATATTGCAGGGTTTTTTGTTACAATTTAAATAAAATTAAAGAAATAAAAAATATTTTAGGGAAAGAAAAAAGATTTAATATATAGTAGAAAGCGACGCTTAATATGCGGTGTACATACACCTGGTGATCGAACATGAATGTTGCAAGTTCAGAGGCAAAAAAAGAGTTTTTGTGTTTCTTTTTGTTCATTTTTTAATTTAAATTAATTAATTTAAATATTTAATTATTTATTTGAAGAAAATTTATATAATTAATGATCTAATGGAGAGAGAGACCGGCAAGACGACCATCGGGAGCGCCAGCCACCACCCCTTGTTGTATGGGAATTAAAAAAAAAGTTTGTTTTTTTTTCTTCTTTGTGAACTATTTTTATTAATTAAATTGTAATTATTTAAATAAAAAACAAAAATGATGTTAATTTACAAAGATCGAAGGAAAAGCATCGTGCACTGGCTGTTATACACACATATATGTGGTGTACATACACTTGCTTGCTGCTCCAGTGTGGTGGGCAGCTTGTGCTGCAGCCGAAAGAAGAAAATAAATAAAAGGGGAGAAAATAAAAATATAATTGGCGATCTCCTTGTATAAAATAATGTGAAAAAATGTTTATGGGAGAATTTATGAAGAAAAAATGAATTTTTAATTCTATTTTATCGTTTATTATTGTAGGCCGCTATTGAACATCATGAGGTGTATGTACAGCATAATAACATGAATGAGACAAGAGAGGCATAGATTGAGCGATATAGGGTATAAAAGATGTATTTTTCTTGCATTTTTTATTTATTATGTTATTAATAATTGTTTTTATAAAGAATTAAATGGTAGATCTGTTAAAATAACATTTAATTAAATATATTTCTTCATTGTTTGCACAAACAGCCAAAGACGGGAGGCAGCAGTAGGCACTGACGACAAACACACTCAAGGTGTCTGCGTCTGTACACCTCAACTGCTCTTTGTTTGTATTTGTTTCTTTGTCTAATTGATAAAAGTAATTAAAATAAATAAATTTAAATAAAAATAATAAAATTATTTTATTTATTTTCTTTTTTTTTCTTATTTATATGACTTATTCATCATAAGTTGCTAACAGTATAGTATATTTATGTATATATAATAGTAGCAGCAGAGTCGTCATCCGGCTGTACATACACTCCACACCGCTGGCGCTTCCCTTTTCTTTTCTTGCAACTTCTTTTCCTCACTTAATTTTACATTTTAAATATAAATAAATATCCGTTTTTTTTAGTTTTAACGTCAATATACACCAAAAAATACAAAGAGAAGCGCCATTTTATTGGATTTATAGCCGCCCTCCCCCCTTTTTTTTTTCTCTCTCTCTTTTGTATATTTTAACATTACATACACCTACACCAGGTGTACGTACACCCGAAATTAAAATCCAATTTCCACTTTTTTTTCTTCTTCTACTTCATGCCTTCCCAAGACCCTTCTGCTCGCATGCAGGGGGAGCCCTATCTTGTCGCCCCTAAACCCTAAACCCTAATATAAACCCTAATATAAACCCTAATATAAACCCTAATATAAACCCTAAACCCTTGGGATCAAATTCAAACAAACTGCTGATGATTTGTAAAGTTTATTTACAACAGCAGCAGCAGCAGCAGCAACAGCAGCAGCAGCAGCGAATCGCAGGCATCTCTCGCCGCTGCACGCCATTCGCTGCTGCTGCTGCTGCTGTTGCTGCTGCTGTTGTTGCTCCTCTTCCTGTTGCTGCTGCTGCTGCTCCTTGTGATTAACACACCCGCAAATGGCTCAAATTAAGACGAGTCGTCTAACCTTAAATACCCCTGCTGCTGCTCCCGCCCTCAACAGCAGCAGCAGCAGCAGCAGCAACAGCAACAGCAACAGCAGCAGCCACTACAGCAGCAGCAGCAGCAGCAGCAGGCCACCATTCAGCAGAGAACTATTGGGGGAACCAAGAAAAATATTCAACATCAACGACTACTATGAACTCGGACGTAAACTCGGATCTGGCTAGTAAGTAGGGTTTAGGGTTTAGGGTTTAGGGTTTAGGGTTTGGTTGTATATAAGCGTATAGTATAGTGTTTATAGCAATCAGGAAGGGTTTAAACTTTGGCATATAGTCTGACGATTAAGATCTTATTCTCCTGCACAAGGGTTTAGGGTTTAGGGTCTAGAGATTAGGGTTTAGGGTTTAGGGTTTAGGGTTTAGGGTTTAGGGTTTAGGGTTTGGTGGGTATTCAGCACTGCAAGTGTTTATGAGGCTCGCTGCCGAAGGACCGGCCGTTTATTGGCGATTAAAAATATCAGCAAAGCAAGACAAAGGTAATCTCTTAAACCCTAGGGTTTAGGGTTTAGGGTTTAGGGTTTAGGGTTTACGAGGGTTTACGAGGGTTTACGAGGGTTTATCTTTTTAATATATAATTACTAATTAATATTTATATACTGTTTATTATATATTAATTAATTAATTAATTAATTAATTAATTAATATACATAACTATGTATGTATATAAGTAAATACATGTATATGTATATATATGTATATATATGTATATGTATATATATGTATATATATATATGTATACAGGTTAATAACATCTGAATATAATTACCGTGTCGTCTATTCAGTGTTATCATCATTACCAACACATAAACATCTTCTTCTTCCTCCTATTGATCTATTAGAGACTAATACACACTTTTATATTGTAAGTTTATTTATTTCTCCTGCTGCTCCTGCTGCTGCTGTTGGTGGTGGTGGTGGTGGTGCTGCTGCTGCTGCTGCTATCTTTATTGAGGTTCCTGTATCATTATTAGGGTTTTTTAGGGTTTTTAGGGTTTCTTAGGATTTCTGAGGATTTCCTAGGGTTTAGGGTTTAGGGTTTAGGGTTTAGGGTTTAGGGTTTAGGGTTTTTTTTTTTTTCAGGTGATGGAATTATGTAAAGGAAAAGATTTAGTTGATTTTGTTTTGCGATTTCCTGCTGGAGGAATTTCTGTTTCTTCTTGTCGTCGTTTATTGCAACAATTACTTCTTGCTGTTAATTATCTACATTCTTATGATGTAAGGGTTTAGGGTTTAGGGTTTAGGGTTTAGGGTTTATTATTATTGTTAATCTAGGATCTACAGGGTTTTGTTATTTTGTAGGGTTTAGGGTTTATTATATTATTATGGTTCATGTTGATCTAGAGGTTTTTCTAATATTTTAGGGTTTAGGGATTATTAGGGTTTAGGGTTTAGGGTTTAGGGTTTAGGGTTTAGGGTTTATGTGTGTTCAGATATTACATAGAGATATAAAATTGGATAATATTGTATTTAGGGAAGAAACAACAAATGATGAACAAAAAGGAGATGTTGTGCTGCTGGACTTTGATATGTGTCTGCTGCTGCAGCAGCAGCAGCAGCAGCAGCAACAGCAGCAGCAGCAGCAACAGCAACAGCAGCAGCAGCAGCAGCAGCACCAAAATGGAAAACAGCAACAACGGACACAAGATGCTCCAGAGGTTGCTGTTGTTGGTACAAGAGAATACATGGTAAATAATTATATAATAATATATTATTTATTTATTTATTTATTTATTTATTTATTTTATTGGTTATTTATTGGTGTATATAAAATTGGTGAACAATATATGTATATATGTAAATCTGTATGGCTTAGGGTTTAGGGTTTAGGGTTTAGGGTTTAGGGTTTGTATTGATATATATATAAGTACATGTATATAAAAAACCCTAAACCCTAAAATAAATGTATAAAAGATCCAACAAAAAAGAAAAAAAAAACAAAAAAAACAAGACAAGAAAATAATAATAATAAAATAAATAAATAATAAAAGAATTAAAAATTAAAAAATTAAAAAATTAGGGTTTAGGGTTTAGGGTTTAGGGTTTAGGGTTTAGGGTTTAGGGTTTATGTGTGTGTACAGGCACCTGAATGTTTTTCTGGTATATACAGCCGAGCATCAGACATTTGGAGTGTTGGTGTTGTTTTATTTGTTTTATTAGATGGACATTTTCCCTTTGATGTTAATGATCTTGCTGCTCCTGCTGCTCCTGCTGCTGCTCCTGCTGCTGCTCCTGCTGCTGCAGCAGGAGATGCGGCAGCAGCAGCGGCAGCAACAGCAGCAAGTGCAAGTGCAGCAGTAGCAACAGATACTAATAAAGTAGCAGCTGGAAGTGCAGCAACAGCTACTGCAGCAGCAGCAGCAACAGCAGCAGCAGCAGCAGCAGATCGTTCTTCTTCTATCCTCTCTCCCCGTTACCAAAACAATAACAACAATCATCATCAGCAACAGCAGCAGCAACTGCAGCAGCAGCAGCAGCAGCAGCAGCAATTAAGCAGCAGCAGATCTATACGTCGTATATTAAGAAGAGGTGTTTGTTTCTTCTCTGGTCTAAGACAAAGAGATCCTCTTGCTGTTCATCTTATTGAATCTATGCTCGCCTTTGATCCTAAGGCACGCATGCAAACAGGTTAGGGTTTAGGGTTTAGGGTTTAGGGTTTAGGGTTTAGGGTTTAGGGTTTAGGGTTTACGAGGGTTTAGGGTTTAGGAAGGTTTAGGAGGGTTTAGGGTTTATAAGGGTTTAGCTGTTCATCTTATTGAATCTATGCTCGCCTTTGATCCTAAGGCACGCATGCAAACAGGTTAGGGTTTAGGGTTTAGGGTTTAG